CGAATAGGCTATTAAAGTTGAAAGTGATTATAGCGTGTAGACTAGCTATAGTGATTATAGTAATTATAGTGATTTAAGCATCCACGGACGAGAAACATCAATGCCGTTCCATATCTTTTAGCTGGTCTTTAATATAAATGCTATTCAATGGGGATATTACAATAATAGCTGCTTTCCCTGACGTTTGATAATCACGCGCTCGTACGAAAGCTTGGTAAATCAAACTTTTGCCATAACCTGTCGGTAATACAGCAAAAACATCTTTTCCTTTTAAAAGGTCCCGAACTGCTTTATCTTGCTCCTCTTTCAGTTGAATACAGTGGTCAGTCGCCAACTGAATATCGCTAGTCACTTTAGAAAGAACTTCGTCAATACTCCCTTCTACTAAGGCCGCTATTTTGAACTCATCTAAAACCACAGGGAATATAATTGGGAATCCCCAGATGACTGATTAGCCAATCAGAATTTCGCGTCCGCTCACGGACGCGAAATATGAGAAAACATATGGCTTTCCTGCAGGCGCTATTTCTTTCTCGCCCCTCACATTTTTTCTCACTTTCTTTCTCTTTTTCTTCGCATCCCCCCCCCCTAGCTTCTCCCACCCTCGCCCTCCCCCCTAAATAGCGCCTGCTACGCAGGCTATACCTGCTACCAGATCTAAACCAGATCTTTGAAGTCCACCTTATCACAACCCGCACACCCGATCACCTATATATACATGAACTTACGGTTACAGCTCAACAGCTGGCCTCTGTAGCTCAGTTGGTTAGAGCGCTGCACCGGAATCGCAGGGCCAATTCCTACCAGAGGACCTTGTGCTGCATTTTTCGCAGTCGTTCCTGGTCAGGTCTTAAAATGTATACCTATACTCACTTGGATTACAAACCCTAAGAACAGCATTCAAATATTAATACCACCAAGTGAAGTGCAAGAAACCAGATCTTTGAAGTATACCTGCTACGCCTAACTTAAGTGTTTGAAACTCTATCCTCTAATCTATTATAAGGCTACGTCATGCACTAATTATTAAGCTATGAAAAATGTTATAGAATTGTCAGTCCCGACAATGACTGCCATAAAACTTCAGTCGCTGCTGAGAAGCAAGCTGTCAGTTGATGTAGGTCATTATTGCTGCCGACTAAAAAAGAATCGAAGACAGCATGACTTCTTCCGAAAATTAAAAAAAAACTGAAAAAAAAAGAAAATTTTGTTTAGGGAAATGTTAAAGCAAAACAAAAAACGGACTCAGTTTGAATTTATTACCTTACGAGATAAGAGATAATTTATATACGTGTGGAATTTTTTTCTCAAAATGTTAGGCCGAATGCAGGGCCGTAGCGAAGGGGGGTATTGGGGAGGGTGGTTAACCCCCCAACTTTTTTAGAATTAACATATTCGGAAAATCAGGTTGGTCATTCTGAAAATAACGGCAGTACTAGTATAACAAAATTCTAGTTGTTTAAACAGCGAAAATATTATAAATTTGCATGTATTGTCAGCATCATAAACTGATTTACAAAATCACGGCATTTACATGGATAACATTTAACAAATCGTAGATCGGTAAATGTTTTTCGGTTTATTACTTCCAGCCCTCAATATATCTTTAAAATACTGACAATTGATTAATTTTAAGCGGCTACATTACCCATGACAAACCGCAAAGAATCATACTACCCATATACGCCTTCGCCCATTTAGTTCTTCTAAATTGTAAGCAAATTAATCGTAAATTTCGACGTGCTAAAACTCTGTTTTCTGACCATCAGAATTCTGTCAAAACTTCCCCCAAAGTCCACGAAATGGCATTTCAGAGACTATAAATTTAAAAATTTCCTCGGGCCTTCGGCCCTCGTCACCCCCTTATCAAAAAGAACTTCCTACAGAACTGCACGCGTCTGTAATATGCCTGTGCGTAAAATATGAGTATTTTTGTTTGTAAATTGCGTTTTCATTTTCCTGATAGCAAACACCTTCGTGGCTTCGTATGCCACGAAATATTCGGAAATTTTTTTCGTCATTCGGAAATTTTTGGCATTCACCCCCCCAACTATGCATGCTTAGCTACGGCCCTGGAAGTAAACAAATTTTGCACTCCCTCGTTCGTTTAATTTGCGAAAACAAATTAACGCGTGCGTAAATACCACACGTAAGTATTTCCCATGAAAAAATCTCTATATACTATCCGGTTATCCGATTATCCGGTTATCCGATTATCCGGTTATCCGATTATCCGGTTATCCGATTATTCGGTTATCCGCTACCCGGGTTTTCTACCATGCCGATATATTGCTATCGCAAATGTACCGTACCGTATTCCTAGCCATTCAGCACGAGCTTATATAATTGAGCAAATTTAAGCCAATCAGCGATTAGTTTACATCAATTGTTTACATCGTGCCCGCATCTAACCTGCGAATGGGCATAGATTGGCCTCGTGTTATTCTTTCAAAAATATCTTGATTTTATCAATTTATCTTGAATTGGTTCTCTTGTTTTCTCGCCATTCTACTTGCGATATTATTCCTAAGTTATTTATCAACATGGGAACTTATCCTCATCTGGTAAGTACTCAAATTGACTCAAGTGCCATCTGAAGAGAAAATAAGCCAGCCAGAATATGAAGTTTGTGATGACTATTTTCTTCTTAGAAACCGATTTTTTACAATTTTCAAAGGATTTGCAGTATAGTATGTCTTATGTATGACTGTTGACTTTTAATGAAACACAAAAAAATAGTCTAAAAATCCGTACAACAGCGACTTAAAATCGAATATAAAATAGTGAGACAATCTCTCGTCTTCGTATCCGTAGCCATTACTGCTTTGGCAACGTTTAAGAGGGAAATATATACTAAATTGTATCAACATGCGTTGAGAACATCACGTCTTACCTACTAATTGATTTAAATAAATAAAATTAGCGAAACCTACCGCTTTTGTGGGGTTTTCCTGGAGTAAAACTTTCAAAACGAAACAAACAAGAAAACCGAAGTGTTTATCCGCGTTTGACGTTGAGCATGCGCAGTGTTTAACCGGATACCATGTTTTTATGGTATCCGGTTATGGATTTGGCCAGAGCCCCTCGTCGCGCTCGGTCGAACCAGTGGGTCGAACGCGCGTAAGAAGGGCTCTGGGTACGAGAATGATACAAAATGTGAATCAACATTTTTCGCAACCTCATTCCCAGGCTCTTCCTAAAGAGGGAAAAGCCTGGGAACGAGGTTGCATTTTTCGCAGATACATGTACGCGTCGCGTACCTATTTTTTATAAATATATTTATTAATTGTTTTAATACTGATTGATTAATGTCAATACGCATGTCTTGATTTAACTGGTTACTTTTCATTTACATTTATCTCTTTGAGTTCTTTGACCCTTACTCCTTAGCCTTAGGCTATAAAAATCTTTTTAGTTCAAAATTGCGTTGCGATGTGATAAGGAATGCACTAAATACAGCTCCCTCTAACATATGCCTTATTTCTTTCATGGTTTAGATATGTTGCGAAATAATTATAGCACGTTTCCTAATTTTTTTAACTCTACTCTAGGCTGTATTTAAGAACCGACGAATTATTTGTAAATGTCATGGAATTAAAAGTCATTGTGCATTTAAAACATGTTGGAATCAAGTACAGGAATTTAACGTCATCGGTGATTATCTGAAAGCAAAATATCGTTCAGCTGTTAAAGCAACTCTTCTAAAAAGAAAAGATGGAAAGGTCACATTAAAAGTAAAAAATAACAATTTATCCAATAACAAACTTGTTTACACTGACGTTTCACCAAGTTATTGTCTCAAAACTGTCGGTCGATCATGTAGTAATACTATAACTGGGCCTGGAAGCTGTCAATACCTTTGTTGTGGACGGGGCCACAATACTGAAAATCGAGTGGTCTCGAAAAATTGCCGCTGCAAATTTCATTGGTGTTGTGATGTGAAGTGTGACATATGCCAAGAAAACGTCCAAGTGCACACATGTCGTTAATAATTCAATGTTTCAAACGATGATCTTGTATAAAAATTTAGGAGCTGACAGAGTGAGGACACTATCGTATTTGATTGATTGATTTGATTGATTTATTAAAATTAAGATCACATGGCAGTAGAAACTGAATAGACGATTCCCCTTATTACATTTTCGTAGCGCTTTGCATTGTGGTTATAGTGGTATCACTGATATTCAAGATGGCTTATGTTTTGTCCTCAACCGCGCAAGAACTTTTAAAAAAAGCTAGGGTCAGGTGCACGATATTCAACAGCAAAATATTCACGAAAACATTCAATATTTTTATTCGAGGCCGCTATCTTTATCAGTGATACCACTGTAACCACAATGCAAAGCGCTACGAAAACGTAACAAGGGGAATCGTTTATTGCGTGACTTATTACATGTAGGTAATTTACTCTAAGATCTTTCGAATTCAAATAAAGTTTATTGTATTGTATTGTATTGTATTGTATTGTATTGTATTGTATTGTATTGTATTGTATTGTATTGTATTGTATTGTATTGTATTGTATTGCATTGTATTGTATTGTATTGTATCTTAACGGTTCTACTAATCTTAAAATACCCGTAAATTATTATATTTACAAAATTCCCTTATAAAAAACGTTTAAAAATTTCGTTAGCCTAAAATGTACATTTCTTATTTGATTGATTATATGCCTTACTACCAGCAATTATAAATGAGTTAGAAAAACGTTTAGTTTTAGTTCTTGGCACTACTAAGGGGTTTTGTACCCGCAGGTCATAAGTTGTAGATTCATGTTTTTTTCCCGTGGCAGGTGTTTCAGCTTGCTATCGGGACTTTCATTTATGTTCTAGAATAGTTTGTTAGTGAGGGCTTCATGATGATCGTCAATGGATTGGATGTTAGCTAACTCCAGGGCGGTAAAGTACGGAACACCTGGAATGATACACCTCAACGCTCTTTTCTGGATGCGCTCTACATCCTCTCTTAGATATATTGGAAGGGCATAATGGAAGGGCGTAATCCAATGTTGAGCGTATGCATGCACAATAATATTGCACTATTTCAGCGGTATCTACCCTGGACCGTTTAAGCTGAATCAAAAAATAAAATTTTTGAAAGGCACTCTTGACTAAATATTCAACACGATTGTTCCCTGCACGTAAGATTCGTGTTGAGCATTAGTCAGGGCCTTTTTTAAGGATTTTCCCGTTGGGGGGGGGGGCATTTTTTGAAAAGGGACCTTTCTGTGAGATAATATATTAGAGGGGGATAGCAATGGCTGAAAGCCACGTGTGTGGCAAATATACCACGCATGAATGGGGGGTCTGGGGGTGTACTCCCCAGAAAATTTTTGAAATTTGACTCCCGGAAATGTCATTTCCTGCATTCTGAGCATCCAAATTTGCTCCAAAATTTATGGTAACTATACTTGTATTTGAAATAAATAAAGGAAAAAACGCACAAAAAGTTAAAAAAAATTAACCATCATTTATCATTACTTATTAGAGGAGGATAGCAATGGTCACGTGTGTGGGGGTGTACTCCCCCAGAAAATTTTTGAAATTTGAAGCATGTAAATGCCATTTCCTGCATTCTAAGCATCCAAATTTCCTCTAAAATTTATGCTAACTATACTTGTATTTGAAATAAAAGAAGGGAAAATGCACAAAAAGTAAAAAAAATATTAACCGTAATTTATCATTAAGTATTAGAGGACTAATCCCCCGAAAAGTTTTGAAATTTGAAACCCGGAAATGCTATTTCCTGCATTCTGTGCATCCAAAATATAAAAAATTTATTAACAGTAATTTATCATTACTTAGTGGTAGAAAAACGTAACAATTTAAATCGATTTTGTTAAACAAGGACAAAGGATAAAGCCTAAAAGTTACTTTCCGTTTATCTATTTGTTAATCTTAGCTGGTTTGTTAACGTTTGTATAATTTTAGGAAAAAGGAACTTTTCCTGGGGGGGGCACAAGGGGGGACTGGGGGGGCATTTGTCCCCCCCCCCAGCTTGTATGTTAAAAAAGGCCCTGGCATTAGTCCCAAAAGTTTCGCACTTGTTACTTTTCTGATTGGCTGACCGTCAATCAGTACCGTTGAATAAATTTCTTGTTTATTTTGTCTTCTCTAGTTGATGACAAGTTCTTTTGTTTTGTTACAGTTCAACTGGAAAAGATTCTGTTTATATAGACCATTCATTAACTTCGTTTGCAGCCGACTGAGCACAACTCTGTTCTCCTTTCTGTATAGTCAGTGGCGGAAATCTTGGTGGCCGATCCCTCCCCCACCTTCACGTAAAATTGACGAATTTTCGGAAATTTTGACCTAAAAGAGGGCTAAAAACAGTCTTTTCGAGTGCAAATGGGGGGGGTATGTCAGAAATTTGAAAGTTTTGTCAGAAATTTAGGAGGTTTTGCCCCCCCCCCGGAAAAAGTGAATTTCCGCCACTGTCAGTATAGTTTCCGAAACAGTTGAATCATCAACGTACTAAGTATAAAGAATGAATGCTTTCTGTAGTCAAAACTTCACATATAAGAGTAAGAACACTCAGAACAGTTCTACTACATAAATAAAGTTAACAAACTGAAAAGACAAGTCAACAAAATACTAGGGCTATTGCAGTAATGTTAAAGTAAATCAAATGAACCATCTTGCTAATTCAAATTTTTCCGATAGTTTCAGTCCTCCCTGCAGACCCGCCAAAATGGGGAGGGATTTTGCCCCCGGCCCACAAATTTCTTGACACAGATTGCTAATATGCAGTGAAGCGCACTGTATTGTAAAACACTGCTTGTATAAATTATATGAATTAAGATAAAAATTAATGAATTAAAGATAGTTGAATATTATGTGGTTCAGTGGCTTTAAAGTTTGTGTTATTTACAGTCGTATATTTTGTGACTAATATATATAGTGACTAAAGTAACTAATTATGGCTGTATTTGTTTTCAGATAGTTGAACATTGTTAACTTTAGGAATCAAAGGGAGAGAGAGGGGGGAGGGGTGAATAGATCTTATGCATAATGACGTCAGAAGGCTTGACGGCCGCGAGGAATGCTTGTCTTTTTACTCATCGCCCGACAAACTTTCGATAGTGGCCATTTTGAATTGTTTAATTTTCCTGGGCGATGACCATAGGCGATGACCAGAACTAGAACGATAACTTGGCCGCCATCTTCAGTGCTCTCACTTTTAAGGAATTATCCTTAAAAATAGGAATTTTGAAGAGTTTTAAGGATTTTTTTAAGGAATTTAGGTTTTTGAGGATTTTTTAAGGAATTTCCAAAACATTTTATCCTGGACTAAAAACGTTTTGACGGAGAATAACCACGCCACGCAAATGAGATTTAAACTTGAAAGTAGCAACATTATATGCACATAATTACATATATTCGTATGTTCTCTATGTCGTAAATGTACATATGGCTGTCTTTCCATTAAAATTCTCAAAAGTTAAATGTCAGTGTATGCTGTTTCTTCTGAAATCTACAGATTTGCTAAGTTCTCAGGGCCCTAGCGACCGGGGGAGGGAGGGTGCAACACCCCTAATATTGCTCATGAACAATTTCAGGTAGATATCCTGTAGATTTTCAGGTAAATTCAGGTAATTCTCAGGGCATAAAAAAGTGAACTCTCTAATCTGAATTGGAGTTAACAATCAAACAAACTAAAGACGTTGAGACGTGTTGTGGCAGGGAGACAATTGCGAAATACCCTTTCTGACGATCTGGAGACTCCAAATTTCCAAAATTTCCTCAATTTCCCATTATAAACTGAAAGTAGCAATACTTATCTTCATTGTTAGGCAATACTAAAATATTGGGTAGGAAAGACTCTAAAAATGCCATTTCCAACGGTCTAGAAACTTCAAATGTTCAAAAAATATGGTTTTAAAGAACGTTCAGTTCGAAAAATTCAGGTAAATCAGGTGAAAAAAACACTTCTTGCAACTCTGTGATCAGGCCTTGTAGTAATTTTAATTAGTATTTTAATCAGCATCATGCTATCCTATTGTGCAATTGTTATATACATTCAAAAATGATGAATCTGGGGCGGAAGCTGGTGCAAAGTGCAATATTGTTCCCAAGTTGGATCTTGGTATTATTTACTAACTAGTACATTGACATTGTATAAAATTACGACAAATCAAAATCTTTTCTAAAACCTAATACAAATACTTGCCAAATGAAATGATATTATGAAACCGAGTTTCTGTCAAATAGAAAGCAATAAGTAATTATCCCAAAGAATTTTTAGGAGTATCGAAATGAAATTTCAATCTTTATTGAAATTTGTTCGCCAGCGAATGTAGACAAAGCAAGATTCGGAAGAACAACCACAACAACGAACTTTAAATATCATTTCCATGCTGAAAGATGAATAACAATGTTTACATAATACAATACTTTATTACGCGATACGTATTACGTAATGATAACAAACTATCCATTGTATTTATATAGCTCAGTGCTTGGTAACCAAGCCTTAAAGTGATCCCAAAAAATTTTTCTGCTGGCCGCCATGTAGGTATGGAGTGGAAAATACGCCGCCAAAAAAATGTCTGTTTTCTAAATAGCTGTATTTCAACAAGGAAAAAAGCTAAAAACTTTCAACAACACCTGAAATTTAATACAAAACATGTTTCCAGAACGTAGAGCAGTTATAAAGTTCTTTTTTCAGGAGTCAAAGTGCGAAGTTTTTTTCGCCACGTTCAAACTTGTGTAATATTTTGAATATCAAGCTGTTACCCAAGAAGTTTTTGCTGTTAGTGGATGTAAAATACTTAGAACTATCCAGGAAACCAGGTTTGAATCTTTAAAGTTGAAGACTTTCGATAAAAAGTGCTTTTTCTTGCTGATTTTCGCTCAAAAACAAACTTTTGACTGAATTTCCCGCTCCTCGAAACTCTCCCCAGTCCTTTTGAAAGTTAATTTATTGCTCGCCGAGCTCGCGAGAAGCGCCATGTTGGCTTCAGGAAGCTTCAGGCAAGTATGGGCATGTTTATCTGCAGTTAGCGTTCCAGTGTTATTACAGTTCACTGA